ACATCCTGGTACTTTAAGAAAAGTAGAAATATAATTATCCTCTGGACTAATCTTGATTATAACTGGCTGTACCCTATCATTTTCTTCCTTACTATTATCAATAGCACCTTTTTTAATTTGAAAACTATTTTTAGAATTTGCTCCTATTTTCTCGTAATAATTACATTTTAGAATTTCTTTCTTCGATTTAAATCTTCCCATCATCTGTCGCCACATCTATTCAAGAATATTAAGACTATAAGCTCTTTCTATAATAAATGGCCAATCATATTCGGAATCGCTAAATCCGAGTTGAATATTAGGGATGAAGGCTTTCCAGCATAATGCGAATACTTTCAGTAAATTTGTCTGGTTTCCACACACAACTGTTATCTATTATAGATCTGGTGCAGTTTCAAGATCGACAAGACAGATTTGTTTTAACAGTCTTGAATCATCTTTTCAATGCAAGGTTATACAAATCATGAATACGATACTTTCTTCATCTTGTATTTTTGCAAATTCGCCCAACTCTCGTGATTGTGTCTCTATATCCCATGTAAGGATAAGCGTACGATCTCTCATAAGTGCTGAAATTGGAAAACAGTCACTTATCATTTTTAGATCTTCTATTCGCCAAAAATCGTTTATAGAAACCTAAAAATCGTGTGTATAATGGGAATGTTTCATATATCTATACTTGCTTATCATAGACCAACCAGAAATCGCAATTTCATTTTCTCTAGCTATTTTATGGTGGAATGAGAACATATCATCTGAAGCGGTTTCGAAATTGTTATCTTGGATAGCTTGGAGAGCTTTCTTCCTATTCCCACTACCAAGTGTAAATATAACTTTTTTTCTGTATGATAACCATACAAGGTGAAGGCCTTAATATGTTCTATTTTATAGATGTTTATCGTATTACTAAGAATTTTATCTATTTTTATCCTAAACTCATTTACAGTTTCATTATTGGGTACAAGTATATCAAAGAAAATCTGGATTCCCGTAAGAGTAACTACCGC